GGGAGACAATGAAGTACTCTACTCTTCCTTCGATGAAGTGTGTTGCGTTTTATAGCTAAGGGTTGTATTTTGCTTTTATCAGAGCTGCTTTCCTATTGTATTAAAGGGGTGGATGATAAGTGCTTATCTGTACTTATTCATGCGCTATGTTCATCATTGATTTAGGTATCTCAAAAACATTCTGACCGAAATAGACGAACGAAAACAATCTTACCAGAAAAAACCCCAACAAAAACCTCTGACTCCCTCCTCACTCCCTCCTCACCCCCCTCCCCCTCCCAGGTATCGCCATCAACAAAGACGGGATCGTGTACGTGGCTGACGGGCCCAACATAAGGAGGATAACTCCTGACGGGCTGATCACCACACTCATAGGTACACAGGCACAGCCCAAGGACTGGACCCCGATGCCCTGCGATGACATCATACCGGCGGAAAGGGTAGGAGATTTTTATAAAATTTTTAAAATAAATTTTTGTGCTTTCCTCATGTTGTGACAGATTGGTCATCCTGAAGTGGCAATACAGCATGTAGAAGAACAAACACATACTTACACTTATACAAACACACAAACATACACATACACAAACATGCGCATGCACACACACACCCACACACACATACATACATACGCACACACTCACACACTCAAACATACACAGGCGCTTGACGCATAAATACACACAAACACACACACACACTTTTAGCAGCTCTCCAGACAGCCGTAGGCTTTAAACAAACACACTGACAAGACCAAAAGTAGGCCAAAAGTGACCCAAAAGGCGCGCTGTCCACTGGCGATCGCCTGACCAGCTCAAAGTGTGGGTCTCAGAGCTAATGATTCAACTTGAAACTGACCGTCAGATCAATACCCGGGGTGCCTCCTCATCTTTCTCTGTCTCTGAGCTCATTTCTCTCTCTTCTCTCTATCTTTGTCTTTCGTTGTCTCTTCTCTCTATCCTTGTCTTTCTCAGTCTCTTCTCTCTATCCTTGTCTTTCTTAGTCTCTTTTCTTTATCCTTGTCTTTCTTTGTCTCTTCTCTCTATCCTTGTCTTTCTTAGTCTCTTCTCTTATATATATATATATATATCTCTCTTCTTTCTATCTCTAACTCTGTCTGTCACTCTGTGTCTGTCTCTCTCTCACTCTCTCTCTCACTCTCTCTCTCTCTCTCTCTCTCTCTCTCTCTCTCTCTCTTTCTCTCTTTCTCTTTCTGTCTTTGATCTCGGCAGTGTGTGTGTCTCTCTCACTCTCTCTTTGATGTCATTTATCTCAGTAATCGGATCTCTCTCTCTCTTTCTCTCTCTCTCTCTCTCTTTCTCTCTCTCTCTCTCTCTCTCTCACTCTCTCTCTCTTTTTTTTTGTGTCTTTGATCTCGCTCTCTATCTATCTTTATCTCTGTGTGTGTGTATGGGTATGTGTGTGTATGTGTGTGTGTGTGTGTGTGTGTGTGTGTATGGGTATGTGTGTGTGTGTTTGTCGTTATCACTCCTTCTCCCGTTTCTCCTCT